AACCCAGAGAGTTTGTGGTGGGGGAGGCATTTGGAATGACTCCTGCTTGCATACCAGTTTGTACTCATGGAGACTTCTTGCTCCTGGCTCCCATCAGATTTCAGATTATCTGCACAGTGGGAGGCTGGAATGCAGGGGACACACAGCACAGAGCACCCTCCTTTCTGTACTCCCCCTTGCAGTGGCCTTCAGGGGAGTTGGCTCTGCCCTGAATCTCTCAGGGCTTGAATGTGTTTACCTAGAGAATTCTAGAAGCCTTCTTGGAGAAGGTGGGGGCTTACGTTTGTATAGTATTTTGTAATCACTTTGGTTTTTACTTGCCCTCAAATCCCTTATTTGACAAATGAAGGAACTGAAGTCCAGAGAAGAGAAGTGACCAATTGGGTTAGCAGGAAAAAGACTCCAGATAGCCCAGCCTTCTGCCGGAACTGTGTCCGTGTGACCCTGATCCCGCCATGTGGAAATGTTGAGCCCTGGAGTGTGGGATCCTGGGGAGTTAGTTTGTTCATAGCAGCTGGGGACAGGGAGCCCAGTTGCCCCCCCCCCCCCCAACCTCGTGGCTTAAGATGGAATCCAGGCTGTAAATGTCAACTCTGCTCCTACTGAGCACAGTGTTGGCAGCTCTATCCATAATAAAATTGACTCACTACCTGCTTAATAAACCAGCTCTGTGCTTGATGATAATCACTGTGCCATTTATTGCATCTCATATATGCCAGGCACTTTAGTATAAATCCTTAATTCATTAAACAGTATGTATTAGGTATTGACCCCATGCCAGGGGTATGGTGGTTGGTAAGCTAGACACATGTTGTAGCCATCTTGGGGCTTATATCCCAAGGGGGGAGGTAGACAATGAAATAGACAATTACAGTAAAGTGTACTGAGTGGTCGTGATCGTAGGAGGTAGGAGTACACAGGGCAGGCAGCTAACCTAGACATGAGTGGGAGAGAGCAGGGATGTAATGATACCTAATGGGTAAGTAGGACTGAGCCAAGCGAAGAGGCTTGGGTCAAAGGGTTTCAAGCAGAGGGAAGGCATGGATCATAGCGCACTGGTGGTGCTCGGAGTTGTCCCATATAGCTGGGACATGGTATATGGAGAGGGAGCTAGCTCGATGAGACTATAGGGGGACGAGGCAAGACTGTGGTGAGGATTTGGCTTTACAAGGTTTCAGGGAAATCATTTTCCGTTTGCAGTTTGGAAGCCAATGACTTTGGAGAAGGGGTGGGGCAGGTTTGGAGGAGAAAGCAGAGCAAATGGGTAAGGGTGCCAGACAGTACCAATTCTGACACCGCTACTTACTAACTCTATGACCTTGATCAAGGTACTTCTTCTCCCTGTGCCTCAGATCCCTCATTGGTAAAATAGGGACAGTAAGGGCACACACGTTGTAGGGTTGATTTTAAAGATTTTATTTATTTATTAGAGAGAGAGCATGAGCGGGGGTTGGGACAGAAGGAGAGAGACAAGCAGACTCCCTGCTGAGTGAGGAGCCTGACCCGGGGCTCGACCTCAGGACCCCAAAATCATGACCTGAGCTGAAGGCAGACACTTAACTGACTGAGCCACCCAGGTGACCCAGGAGTAAGTGTTTTAACCTCTATAAGGCATATAAGTCACTGTGTTGTTATTTGAATACTTGTTAAATAATCAATACATGTAGTGATAAATGAGTAAATACTGTTGTGAAATGAAATGAACAGGGAGTGTAAGAGCCCCAAAGAGTGCTACTATTTAAAAGACTGCAGAGTAGACAGAGAAAAGTGGCAAACGAGGAGCAAGTCTCTGGGAGCTAAGGGATATGCGTTTTTCTGGAAGACAAGTTTGGTCAGCACTGTCAAACATCGCAGAGAGATCAGGTAATATCAGGACCCACGTGTGAATGGACTCTAGCTGTAATGCCTTTAGTCCTCACAGAAACTCCGCAAGGTGGGTTAGTGAGGTCAGGCAGCTGGATGGGCAGTGGGGAGATGGGACGGTATCCGGACGGGTCAGAATCCTGAGCTCATGATCCTTCCTCCACGCCCTGCTCCTGGGGGAGTTAGCCAACAATTTTACCAAGATTTCTGAACAGCAGTAGGGTCCGTTTTCTTTCCTTTGCTTATAAACAGGATATAGTTTTCTCTCTGTACTTCTAAAATATCCTACACTTTCTCCTTCCTCCTTGAGATGGACGCCTCAGGGTTTATGTCACTTTCAAGATGATGTCTTATAGATCACCACATGTAAGAGCAAAGCTTTTCTATTTCCCACACTAAGCTTTTTAGGTAAATGGGCCCAGTAACTTCAGTCATCTCACAAGGAAAGGTTTGCCTCAAGCTTTGTGAATTTGGATATTAGTAGTGTTTAATTGATTCCTTTTTTTACTCAGAGCAGTGAGTTAAGGAGAAAAGAATGGAAAGGTGCCCGGTAGAAAAACCAGGACTCTGTGATGTCATGGGAGTTATACCTGAATCGGGGACACAATGTACTGTCCCAAGAGTCCCATGGCGCCTTGGTGGGTCACCCAGACCTGGCAGAACTAGGCTCTGCGCCCATTTCTGCACCTGGCACCCTGGGAGGGCTTAACTGGAGTAAAGAGAGGGTTAACGATTAAGATCTGGAGCTCCCCTTTCTCATCTAGTTGGGAGAATAAATAGCACAAAGCAAATATTTTTTCAAGAGCAAATTTTGGATTATTTGTCATTTACAATGACTCTCAAAAATAACCATCCAGCTTTTACTGTTTTGTCTCTTTAAACAATGGTAGTATCTCTTACTAAAGTAAAAACCCCTGCCGGGGCCAGAAACATTTGCTGGGATACACATTTCTTATTTTTTATGGCTGGGTCAACAGTTAGCAAGGCTATTTCCAAAAGGAATAAGAACCCCACGAAGAAAGCACATTTCCCCCCCTAGGAAATCAGTGCTCCAAAGCTTAATGTTTATAACGGCATGGCATTTAATGTTTCCCCACATTTTTGTCAGAGGTGGCTTGGGTGGATTACAGCTATTTGTGTCCTGCCCCCACCCTGTCCACCTCCAGTGTTCCCTCAAGTCTAGCGCCACCTGGGGGTGGACCCGGGTTGTGTGGGGGTTAGAAGCTTGTGAGAATTTGGGGCCTTCTTAAAATAGTGTAAAATTAGAGTGTTTATTTAGAATGGAGAAAGAAGGTAGGTAGGAAGGGGCCTGGGTAAGTGAGGGGTCCTGAAGCTTAGAGCTTGGTTAGCTTAATGCTGAGCTGACCTCTGGAGCCAGAGACTGTTCTGCAGGGTACCTTAATATCTGTTGATTTCTCTCTCAACCTCTAACTGATGGCCTGCCCTCACTTCCTGCCATCCAGCTGTGCTGACCTCTAGAGTAAATCCTGCTATTTCACCTTTTTGTACTACCATGTTCCTCTCCTTTAAAGCTTTATCTGGCTGTGATTTAAATGTTTTTGCATTACTATTTGATGTCTACTTGGGGATTCTACATAAATTCAGGAGACCTAGGGCCAGGTCTGTAGTATTTTGCTTATGGTTATAGGGCTTAGCCCATAGTTGGAACACAAATACTTATTGAATGAATGTATTCATAAGAGTAAGGTGTAAGAGTAAGATGCTAGTAAGAACCAATTTGTGGGTTTTGTGTGGGCAGAGCCAGCTTAACGTTATTTGGTTCAGTTGTGTCCATGCTAAGATTGTAAGCAGTCTGTTCTTAGATGTGAGAACACTTTTCAAGCTGTTATTCAAAAATGTCACCTTAGAGGGACTTGACCTCAGCAGTATTAACCCTTGCCCGTAGTCTGTAGAAACTCTTGAGACCCTTGAATTGCAGCACTCTAGAGACCCTATGTTCACATGTAAATAAAAGAAACACTTCAAAGGAAACATGTGATTTTGGGGATAGTCTTCCTTTGGGAGCTATGGCTGTTTCCCTCCATAAATTAGCTACTTAATTCTAGTACTTTGAATTATGGACTGTTTGTTCTAATGTGGTAAGTACATTCCTGTAAAACCTTCCATTTGGCAAGGGATGAGCTGAGGAACGTGGGGAGAGCCACTGTCCCTTTGCAGAAGGGTAGCTTGTAGTTGGTGCTGGAGTAGGGCTAGCTGGGAGTGGTGGGGAGCTGAGACCTAAGCCCTTTGCTCTCCAAGGCCACTTGGTCCTCCCACCTGCCCCAATACAGGCCAAGTCAGTCTCTGCCTCTGAGCTAGGCCATCCTGTCCTACAAACAGTCCAGAGTGTTCTTTGTAATCTCACTCCCTGATAAACTCCCACTGGTCAAGGTAGAACTGTAGCTCTTCTTTCTCCGGGTGTGTCTGCCCATGTTAAATTTCTTCTTCTTGGAGCTCCAACACCCTGCAAAGGAATCTCCTTTCATGATGTTGAGCTACATACACCCCACCTTGCATTATTAGGTAACTCTCTCCTGTCTCATGTGTCCCCAACTGTTCTGTAGATGCCCTGAAGCCAGGGGACGTGTACTTTTAGTGTTGTTAACAGTATCAGAACATGTTGGACTTACTCGGGCTTGATATGTACTTTCACTAAGGACCCGATGCTATGTTGGAGGCAAGGGAAACAGAAATGAAAGCTGCAGTCTTTCCTCCTAGAACCTCCCAGTCTGGTGGAAGAACCCCTCACGACCTGATGCTTAGCTATTTTGTTTGGACTGACCTTTAAGGAACTGGGCATGGGGGGAAGGTATGTTTCAGTTTCTCCTGAGTCCTTTCATTGTGGTTTCATTCCTTTCCAGTGACTCTCTAAGTTTTGCAAATGTGCTCATAACATCAATTACAAATATAACATTCTGAATTCAAATTTGAGGAAGTATGGGAGTCCATTAATGCAGTTACGGAGAGTTATTTTAAGACACTGCTATACCTAACAGATAAAAATACACTATGTGAGTGCTGTGCTTGTTTTGTATGTGGAGACGGCCATTTTATGATGGGAAGTCATTACAGACACACACTTTTATTAAACATTATGATGATAATGTAACCAAAGGATTTTGCTTCTTTGTTTTTAGGAAATTATACGGTTCTGGCTCACAAAGGGTGTTGATGGCTTTAGTTTCGATGCTGTTAAATTCCTTCTAGAAGCAGAGCATCTGAGAGATGAAGCCCAAGTGAATAAGACTCAAATACCGGTAAAGTTTTTAAGCACTATTTTTCCCCCCTTTCTGAAAATGTCATCCTGTCTACCTCTCTACAGTCTTGCCTCTTTGTGGTTCCACACCAGTGGTTCTCACCTTTCCCCCCACGTCACACATGAGAAGCAGTATTCAGGACGCCACTGTGCTCTTCCGGTTGACCATCACTCTACAGACACTCTATGTTCAATGGCTAAATAGACAGGAGTCCTAAAATGGGTTTCAAAATAGTAGATTTGTATATTTACACAATGGAATATTATGTATCAGTCAAAATAAATGAATAACAGTGATACACAATATGGGTGAATCTTAGCTGTATGTTTAGTGAAAAAACCCTAAAACAATTATATATAGCATGATGCCCTTTTTATAAAGTAAAATGAAATTGTTAAAAGTGTCTAGCTTTTGTCCTGAGTAACAGATTTATGGGTACTTATTAATCTCATTAAACCAAAGCAATTAACTAAAGAAAGTTGGCAATGCATGGACTAATTACAAGACCGTGTCATGAAACAAAGGCTATTTTTTGGCGGGGTGGTTAGTAAAGCACATTATTTCCAGTAGGAAAAATGAAGGGGGGTGAGGAGTGATGTATTAGTCCCAAAGAGAAGCACTTATCCTTGGGGAAGAAATCTCAAAGTAACCTTGCTAATTATGATGAGATGTTGTAAGAGAGGCGTATGTTTCCAGTTATGACAAATGATGAGAACAATAGGTTTTGTGTGGTATCCAAAAAAAAAACCTAAAGAAAAAGTGATTTCAGGAAGAGACCTAAGATTCCAAAAACTTTTCTTGATCTAGCAAGCAAGTTCACTTATTAAAAAGGGGTCCACTGAATGGATGGCAATGCAGGTTTACACTGTCTAGTCTGTCCATGTTCCAACCCAGTACTTACAACCTTGGCTTGTGTTAGATAGAATCTTTTAACTTTGGATTCTAGATTACTGTAACCCTAGGAAGGCACAGAATGAATATCAGGAAAAATTACTGAAACCCTGGCAAAATGGTTGTTCTTTACCCCTTCTAGCTTTTTATTCTTACTATTACACTTTGGATGGCAATTTTGTGAGTAGATCAAGTATAGGTGTAACATTGAGCTCTGCAAGTTTGCTTTTAAGTGCAGCAGTTAGGAGAATTAAATGTTTGGGAGGAGGATTCTGTTAAATACACTTGTAATTAATGTTGAGATATTCAGCAAAGTTTACTAGATTTACAGTTAATAATAGTCAGGAATGTTATTCTCCAGCCATAAAACCCAGTGAGCATTGAAAATCCTAGGATCATCTTTGAGTATGCCTTGGCTTGAGCCCTTTGAAGAGACAGTCTATATTGGCATAAGGCCAGCTATGGACATCTGACATGCAAAATGATGGCAACCATGCTTTTCTGTCTCCAAAGGACACAGTCACACATTACTGGGAGCTCTACCATGACTTCACCACCACGCAGGTGGGAATGCATGACATTGTCCGGAGCTTCCGGCGGACAATGGACCAATACAGCAGGGAGCCTGGGAGATACAGGTAACCGCAGGGCACACTTCTGTTCTTCAAAGGCGTAGGGTGTGACCTGTAGTTAATCCTTCACAGCCAGGCATTCTCAAGAGGATCAAGCTATTTAACAAACCTCCATGACTACGATGTAGTATAATTTGGTTATGCCAGGGCCTAGTATATTCTTTCATATTGCTTAACTTTGCTGATTTTCAGTTTCTTTTGTAAAATAATGCCCATCACAGTACTTCACAGGAATTTTATGAAAATCCCTTAAAAGGTAGTATATAATCTAAATCTTAGCCATTAACTACTCTATTTTTATTACTATTTGGTCTGTTAAGTGTCCAGTATACAGTATGAATCCAAATGTTTCAGCTAAGCTGCTAGTAGATCACAATGGTTTGCTAACACAGCTTTGGAATCAGATGGACCTAAGGCAGAGTTCTGTGTAACAGCTGTGTGATCTTGGACCGGTTCATGGACACAAGTCCCATTTTCTCATCAGTTAAAAGGTGACAGCGACACCCCTATCAGGGTTTTGTGAAACTGCATGAGATAATAATGTAGATGAAGCACTTAATTAAAACAGGGACTGACACATAATAAAACACTCAATAAGTAAATCTCTTACTATGTGTATATTGATCACCCAATAGCATTAACAGAAATATTTAAAGAAATTTCTCCTCCTTCAAAGTAGGTCCTCTGATTGCTATCCTCATTCTATAGATGAGGAAGTGGAGACTCTGAACACAAAGGCAGCGGTCACACGGGTAGTTATGGCAGGGATGGGACTGGAACAAACACCTGGGCTCCAGCTACTATGCACTTACCTGAGACAACGTAAAGCCAGCATTGATGTGGGTCATTCAGGCTAATGTGTCTTTCCCTGACAGTGTTTGCTTTTAAGTAATCTCTACTTAAAACCCAACGGGGGCCTTGGACTCATGACCCGGAGATCAAGAATCACGTGCTCTACCAACTGAGCCAGCCTGGCACCCCTAGAGTGTACCCCAATAATAAAGTGAGACTTTACAGGGATTCCTATACAAGAGGGTTCTGGGGAAAACCCCCTCACATGATATGCATACACTGTAGATTCTAAGTGGAGTGACGAGAATAATAAAGTCTTCATGGAAGTTACTGAGCTTTAATCAGATTTAGGAAGAAGAGAATACTGACTGTTCCTTAACTCTTAGACACAGCCTAGTATTAGGCTAGTCCTTGGGTTTATTGTCCATGAGAAATGAGAAATCGTCCAGGTGACCCAACATGCTATTACTTTGGCCATCTGGCTCAATTATGCTTTTCTTGGTGAGCCCAACCAGATATGGTTAATAGTCAAGCAGACTGAAGCAGCTGCAGAATGCTTCCCAGTCTTCTAACAGGCCCTGAGGACACCGCACCTTGCCAATTCTTCCAGGTTCATGGGGACTGAAGCCTATGGAGAGAGCATTGACGGGACCATGATGTACTATGGGCTGCCTTTTATTCAAGAAGCAGATTTTCCCTTCAACAATTATCTCAGTAAGCTAAACACTCTTTCTGGGAACAGTGTGTTTGAGGTTATCACATCCTGGATGGAAAACATGCCAGAAGGAAAATGGCCTAACTGGATGGTAAGTCCTCATGCCTGGGTTAGCACATCTGGTGCTGGTGTGCTTTCCCTTAATCAGCGATTATTCAGTGAGCCATGTCTGTTTGTCCCAGCTTCTGACCAGGTTTTTGTTATTTTTCTTCATTCTTTTCCTTCTGGTTCTCAGACTAATCTCGATTGCTCAGTCTTCAAATTTGCTGATTTCTCTGCCAGTTCAAATCTGTCAAGCCTGTCTAGTGAACTTTTCCTTTCAGTGATCGTTTTTTAACTCTGAAATTTCTTTCTGGTTCTTCTTCATATTCTTTTTATTCATAGTATCTATTTGATGAGACAATGTCCTCACACTTTAAATTCTGTAGTTTTAGTTCTTTGAACGTTAGTAGTTGATTTAAATCTTTGTCCACTAGTCCAATGTTTGGGTTTCTTCAACCACACTTTCTACTGACTGCTTTTTCTCCACCACCCCCCCCAACCCCACTCCCGTTTCTTTGCATGTCTTGCGTTCCTTTTTGTTACCGAAAACTGGGTATTTTAAATAATGTAGTAACGTAGGAAATCCCATTCTCTCCTCCTCCCCAGTGTTGGTTGTTGCTATTTATTTCTTCAGTGACTTTCTTGAATTAATTTTGTAAAATCTGTGTTCTTTGTTGGGTGTGGCCACTTGGTGAGTTAATGATTGGAAAAGATTCCTAAAACGCTTGAACCATTTATTCTCCCAGCCTTTGCTGAAGTGTGTGTACACATGCTTTCAACCCCAACAGGCAGTTTGTACTTCTACCTTAGTCTTCATTTCCTGCTTGCACAGAGTTTCAAGGTTAGCTAGAGGTGAGAGATTAGAGCCTTCTCAAGTCTTCCCAGGGCATCTGCACAATGTTCTAGATTCCAAGAATCTGTCAGACTCTCAAAGGCCAGTATGGTCACCTCCTCCCCCAAGCTTTTAAGATTTTTGGTCAGTCTCTGCTCAGCCTTAGTTGGTAACACCACCTTGGGCAGGTATGATGTTAAACAATTGCTGATTGTTACCTGGCAAATATACCTTGGGGATAGGGCATTTCTCTGATAAAGAAAAAAATCCAACTAAAAGTGAGTGCTAGAAAGTCAAATAGTGACAGTTCTCCAAATTGAGCTTTTGGTGAACTCTAAACTTCCTCTGCCCCTCCAGTGGCTCCTGGTTTTCACAGCTACGGAGTTCTCAGACTGTTTTCAAGGCTATCCTGGATCTGAGGGGCATGAGTTGAAGGCCATGTTAAAATGACACAAAGCTTGCTGTTTTCCTTGAATAAATACTTCTTGGGTTGTTGAAAGCCTTTAGCTAGTTTCCAGAGTTCTGAAACAGTGGATTTTTAGTTTTTGCCAGCATTCTCCTTGTTTTATGGTAGAGATTTTGGAGGTCCTTCCTCTACCATTCACAAGTGCTCCCTGTATTACAGAATTTTATAATGGAGTTTTAGCACTTGTTTTTTCATATACTGAGAGTCTCCAATATCCTAGGTGACTGGGATTTCTGTCCACTGCTGTAACTACCTGTGGAAATATTTCTTGATTTCACTTCTGAAAAGGAAAGTGCTCTAAGAAAGTTTGAGAAACCATAAAGGCTGACTTTTCTGGTCATAAAAATAGAAAAATAGTTTATAATGGTCTATAAAAAGATAATTGTAAAGACAGTTTTAGTAAATCTAAAGAAAAAAAAAGCAAGCCCAACCATATTCTTATTCTCAACCTCTACCCCAATTTTTTATTTATTTGACAGAGACAGAGAGGGAACACAAGCAGGGGGAGTGGGAGAGGAAGCAGGCTTCCCGCTGGGCAGGGTGCCCGATGTGGGGGGGCTCAATCCCAGGACCCCGGGATCATGACCTGAGCCCATGGCAGACGCTTAATGACTTAACCACCCAGGCGCCTTTCCACCCAAGTTCTTAGAGGCTGGTTTTGCATCATACCCTGCCTTGAATAAGTGATGTAGTTTCTCAGAGAGCTTGTTTCATCATTTGCAAAATGGAGATAAATACCTGACAATGGAGGAGGGCAATAAGATGTAATGTAGGTGGTGAAAGTACTTTCTAAAAATTTTTTTTTTATTTTTAAGATTTTATTTAGAGAGAGACAGCCAGAGAGGGAACACAAGCAGGGGGAATGGGAGCGGGAGAAGCAGGCCCCCCACTGAGCAGGGAGCCCAATGTGGGGCTCGATCCCAGGACCCTGGGATCATGACCTGAACCACCCAGGTGCCCTTTTTAAAATAAAGTTTATTTAAGTAATCTTTACATCCAACGTGCAGCTCAAACTCATGACCCCAAGACCAAAGTTGCATGCTCTTGAGTGAGCCAGCCAGGTGCCCCTCCCAGGCTCCCCCCCGCCTTCCCCCCACCCCGTAACACTTTATTTTTTTTTTTTTTAAGATTTTATTTATTTGACAGAGAGAGCACAGCGAGAGAGGGAACACAAGCAGGGGGAGTGAGAGAGGGAGAAGCAGGCTTCCCGCTGAGCAGGGAGCCTGATGCAGGGCTCGATCCCAGGACCCTGGGATCATGACTTGAGCCGAAGGCAGACGCTTAACGACTGAGCCACCCAGGCGCCCCTCCTGTAACACTTTATAATAATAAATAGTAAAATGCCATGCTCAGCATATGCACATGAGATTGAGTTGTAGTATATGTGGTATATCTTAACAAAAGCTATGTTGTTGTAAGGACTAAATAATATGTACTATTATAATATGTAATTAGAGCATTTAACATAGAAATACCAAATTTAAAAATAGAAAACACTTTAGAAAATTTCCTCTTGGACTCTGTACATTTCTCTATAAAAGCTGATTTATCTTTAAAATTTGTTCTGAATAGTTAGTTCAAAAGACACACACACACATCTCAGAAATCTCTCCTGCCTCTGCCCTTTCCACCTGGTTCCCTCCTTGTGCTATGGGGGAAACATTTTAGTTTCCTTTCTTGTCCATATTTTTTTTTTTTTTTAAAGATTTTATTTATTTATTTGACAGAGAGAGAGATAGCGAGAGCAGGAACACAAGCAGGGGGAGTGGGAGAGCGAGAAGCAGGCTTCCTGCCGAGCAGGGAGCCCGATGTGGGACTCGATCCCAGGACCCTGGGATCATGACCTGAGCCGAAGGCAGACGCTTAACGACTGAGCCACCCAGGCGCCCCTTCTTGTCCATATTCTTATCCAAATGTATGAAAATATTAATATGCACCCTCATAAATTTTATCATATTTGCGGTATCACTGTGAAGTAACTTGTTACCACCATTTTGTTAATCATAATGGCCAAGACAGTAAATTGGTCAGTTACACAGTAAGTAGCAGGGTTGGGACTCAAATTCAGGTCTGCTGATACCAAGGTACCCACAACAAACTTTTTCTACCCGATGAACATTTTGTGGAATAGGGTAAATCTTCCAGAAAACTGTATATTGAGCTGTGTTCTTAAAGTATCTGCCTTTCAGATCGGTGGACCGGACACTGCCCGGCTGACTTCTCGTTTTGGGGAAGAATATGTCAACATCATGAACATGCTTGTTTTCACACTCCCTGGAACTCCCATAACTTACTATGGGGAAGAAATAGGAATGAGAAATATTTTAGTCACAAATCTCAACGAAAGCTATGATGTTGTAAGTTAACATAATGTAACTATTCTACTGCTGAAAATTACTACTCTGCTTTCCTTCTTACTATTAGCTCTCTTGCTTGGGAGCTTAAAATGTTTCCAAGCCACACAAGTGAATTGTAGAGCCCAGAAATCTACATCTTAAAGGTATTTTCCAGCTGATTCTTAGGCACACTAGAATTTGAGAACCTGTGTTTTGAGTCTGGAACATTAATTATAGTGCTTGTCTGTAGTGCTAGATTTCATTTGAACACAGCAAAAAGATTCTTCCTTTCATCTTGACAAATGTAAATGCACAGCCCCAGACCTGATTTTTTGTTTGAGGCTATGGATACCAAAATTGTGTTGTTGGGTGAACCTGTAATAATTTGTATGGTTAGCTTTCAGTGAAGGAGATCCAATTTCCCTAATATTTGGTGTGCATTTCCTAAACTTGTGTGTGTGCATTCATGTGCAATAACCAGGCTAGATTTTAAGAAGATAGAATTTAGGCTTACTTGTACATGCTGCATACTTGAACTCACCATCACTGTACCATGGAATGAACTGGTGATGGTACATCTTGAAATCCTACATTACTCATTTTTAGGGAAAAGCAGCAACAGATTCCAAGCATGTACCAAAGTCCAGTTACTATAGTTTACTGAAACTCAAGATGTCACTATTTTCCAATCGAAAGTGTGAAGCCTTTTCATTATGAATGCTAATGAATACACGTGTTAACTAAGAAATACAGGGAATTAAATAATTATGAAGTAAATCATGGCCAGATGACATTTCTTTTACTAAATACACCACTGTTTTCTTTTGGCACAGAATACCCTCCTCTCAAAGTCACCAATGCAGTGGGACAATAGTTCAAATGCTGGATTTTCTGAAGCCAGTCTCACCTGGTTACCCACAAATTCAGATTACCATACTGTGAATGTTGATGTAAGTATCAATGAAAATGTTATACTGATTCCAGAAACAGGGAATGAGTTTCCGTGCTGACAACATACAAGTCACCCCAAGGGTACCCAAAACTTTAACTGATGCTCTCGGATAAGTCTATGAAAGAGAGCATCAGTTAAATCATGTTTTTGTGAAAATACAAACTGGTACAGAGGTGCACCATGTGAAATATCGTATAGAATATAAAACTATTCACTGGAATGACTTTAAGAGCTTTGAGGGTTTTTTTTTAAGATTTTATTTATTTCAGACAGAGAGAGAGAGTGAACATGAGCAGGGGGGAGCAGGGGGAGCAGCAGACTCCTCATCGAGCAGGGAGCCCGATGTAGGGCTCGATCCCAGGGTCCTGAGATCACGACCGTAGCTGAAGGCAGACGCTTAACCAACTGAGCCACCCAGGTGTCCCTAAGAGCTTTGAGCTCTTAAGGAAATGTTATGGGGGTCTTTCAACAAGCCCAGCTACCTGTCTTCCTTTCCTGTCCTCAAAAGGAAGGAAAGAAGGAGACCCATCAAGGCTATTCACCTGGAGAAACCAAGACATGAGTAATTCCTAAAAGTAGCTGTTCTGGAAAAACACACCCTTTGGCTTTTGTCTATACTATTTTCTGTTCTCAGGTGATCAAATTTGCCAAATTCAGCTGGAATTGCTGGAATCTGTGCATTCCTGTTTAGAAAGTTTGTTTGCTCAATTTGGCAAAGTACTAAGTATATTTCCTTAGACCAGAACAATATAAAATGGTTCCAGGTGGAATCATGTACCAGTGAAAATGTCACTGGAAAACATGATCTAAACTACCTCAGGAGAAGAGAAATTACTGGCATTCCCTGAGAGGCAAAAATTTCCCCTTACCCCAATCTACTATTTTGAAAACAAGATATTTAATAAAAAATTACCAAAGTATAGTTGATATACAATGTTGTATTAGTTTCAGGTGTACAATGTATTGATTTGACAGTTCTGTACAATACTCAATGCTCGCCACAGTAAGTACAGTCTCCCCAGGTTATTCTGTTTTGAGCTTCTTGCAAACCCTCCTGTTCTTACAACTCCCTGCTCCAAACTCCACAGAGGCTTTTGGGATAGTATTAGTTTTATATATTCATAGGTCCTTGAAAACAAAAACATGTATTTTAACATTTGTGTTTTAGGTTTAATACATCTCTTGATTTTTGTTATGTCCAAAATGTTCCCATAGGCCAATCTGAGTCCAATACATAAGAAATCCTACATAAAAATGTATGTCAAAAGATGGAAAAATGCAAAAGCAAATTAAAAGTATTTTCTATAGCATTAACCAAGCCTTTCAAATGATCATGAGTAATGTCTGGAGGCATGCTGAATTGTAACAAACGTTACAAAAAGTCAGGCACCACTATTTAATAAAATACATCCATAAAAGCCCTAGAGATAGGTAAGAATTTAGGTAATCTCTAAAAGAAGTAAAATTAAGCTTCCCATAATTACTAGAGGTAGGCAACTGAAGACAAGGAGTATCACAATGCAAAAGTAAATGGATCACCAAGAATCACACCATATTTGAGAAAAATTAAGAAGATGAGGGACACCACTTTTAACACTGTAGAAAGTAGAGGAGATACAGCAAATATAAGACTTCATCATTGGTATATTGTTTTATGGAGTCAAGACTCTTGATTCTTTTAAAAAAGTGAGTGGGGCGCCAGTTGGTTGAGCATCTGCCTTTGGCTCAGGTCATGATCCCAGGGTCCTGGGATTGAGTCTCACTTAGGGCTCCTTGCTCAGTGGAGAGCCTGCTTCTCCCTCTGCCTGCCGCTCCCCCTGCTCATGCATGTTCTCTGACAAATATCTTAAAAAAGAAAGTGATTAGGTATTTTAGAAATGTAGAACATGGTGAAACACTGAAACAGAAATTCTAGTTAGTGTGCCAGAAAACGGATCCAGAGGCTCCCCCCAGAATGCACTGTAAAAAGGCAAATAATAGTGTAAAGAGAAAAATTTTGTTTTTTTTTTTTTTTTTTTAAAGATTTTATTTATTTGCGAGAGAGAATGAGAGACAGAGAGCATGAGAGGGAGGAGGGTCAGAGGGAGAAGCAGATTCCCTGCCGAGCAGGGAGCCCGATGCGGGACTCGATCTCGGGACTCCAGGATCATGACCTGAGCCGAAGGCAGTTGCTTAACCAACTGAGCCACCCAGGCGCCCCTTCAATTTTTCCCCTCAATATTTCTATAAGAGAACAGAAACTAGAGGGAAACATATAATCCAAGAAATAAAGAAAACTCAGAGATACTTATCTAAAGGCAGAAACCAAAACCAAACTCCAAAATAGATTGCCTAAGCAAAGGATTGAGAGTTGCACTGGCTTCTCAAGTGGATCCTAGAACACATTAGAACTTGAATCTTTAAAGCTGTGATGGAAACTTGATTCTAAACCTATAATCCTATATCCATTCCAATTAGCATTCAAGAATATAGACCTAGTGGGGCGCCTGGGTGGCTCAGATGGTTAAGCGTCTGCCTTCAGCTCAGGTCATGATCCCAGGGTCCTGGGATCGAGCCCCACATCGGGCTCCTGGCTCAGCCGGGAGTCTGCCTCTCCCTCTCCCACTGCTCATGCTCTCTCTCTCTCTATCTCTGTGTCTCAAATGAATAAATAAAATCTTAAAAAAAAAAAAAAAAGAATATAGTCCTAGAAAAGCAAGGACCCCAATTTTTCCATATATAGCCACTTTCTGAAAGAATAATCGGCAACGCAAAGAAAACAATAAATGAATCTAAAAGAAAGACATGATGTGGGGTGCTGGCTGGCTCAGTCAGTAGAGCATGTGACTCCTGATTTCAAGATTTTAAGTTCAAGCCCCACACTGGGTGTAGAGATTACTTAAAAAATATCCTTAAATTCTTTTCCTTACTGTATTTTATATGTCATGTCTTTTTTTTTACATTTTATTTTTGATACACAATGTGAAAGAAGGTAAAGGAGGTATTCTGGTGATTGACTTCTATATGGAAAGTGGCAGGAGAGAGAGAACATGTGAGCGAGCAGGCTAAAGCACTGTCTTTTCAGGGCATGGCAACAGAGTCACTCTGGATTTGAGCTGCCTCTTAGCCATTCACCACTAAGACTATTTAGACAGCACAGATACTGAACACTGCAGGAAGTTCTGTTGGACAGCATTGCTCCAAATGTCAAGAAAAGTATATTTTAAAATGGGCATTACAATTTTAAGGGTGTAATTTTCAGAGAACATTAGAAGGAAAAATATTACATCAAATCAGTTTGATGAAAACAATAGTACAATTATAAATAAAAGCTAAAAAAGGGGGCGCCTGGGTGGCTCAGTTGGTTAAGCAACTGCCTTCGGCTCAGGTCATGATCCTGGAGTCCCAGGATCGAGTCCCGCATCAGGCTCCCTGCTCGGCAGGGAGTCTGCTTCTCCCTCTCCCACTCCCCGTTTGTGTTCCCTCTCTCACTGTGTCTTTCTCTGTCAAGTAAATAAATAAAATCTTAAAAAAAAAAAAAAAAAAAAGCTAAAAAAGGGCTGTAGGATTATGTCTGAACATATGGTAATCACAAATATAAATTCACCTGTTAAAAGATAAAAACTCTCTTATGTCAGATTTTGTCTCGTTATTTTAATCTGAGAGTTTAATCCAACAGAAGAGACATAGCTAAAACAAAATATTAAAAAATTAAAGATTGCCACCTGGCTATAGCTATCAAATAAAAAAATGCATATAACCTTTTGCCCTAGTAATTTCATTCTGGGAATACCTGCATATGTGGAAAATGATAAATATTCAAGAGCTCTACCACAGCATTGTTTTTAATAGCAGATGACTCTGGATATGATTTAAGTATCTTATCAGCAGAAAGTCAGTTGAATCAGTTATAGTTAATTTATATAATTTATACAATGGGACTAGTATGCAGCTTTTAAAAAGAATGCACTGATATTATGAGACATCTCTAACATGTACTAAATAAGAAATGGTGTCCATAATGGTATCATGCCACTATTTGTATAATGAAAAGTATACCTACATATGTTTGCATAGGCATAAAATGTATCATACATAAACAGTAATAGTGTCCATTTCTGAGAGAGGAAGTGAAAAGCTAGAGGACGGTGTTAAGAAAAACCTTATTGTATACTGTGTGCATGCATTTCCTATTAGAAAAATACAGTTACAAAAAGTGGGTGTGGAAATATTTAATAGCAGACAAAATAGAATTCAATATGAAAAGCGTTATGAGAGAAATGCAATTTTCAAAAACTGATAAAAGAACATTCCACTACAAGTCATGAATCTATGCATCTAACAATAGCTCCAAAGTTTATAAAACAAGTACTATGAGAAATGCCAAGAGAAACTGACAAATCCACAATTACAGAGAGACACGTCAACATACTTTCAGGAAATAGACACAAATAATAGTTAACACTTACTGGGCACTTCTTTGTGAGTGGCACTGAACTATGCTTTTCCATGCATTATCTAAAGCTATAGAAAATGTTAATAGTAATTTGACAAGTCATATACATATACCATATACATGTACCATAAATACCTTTGTACCTGATAACAGAGAATAAACATTTTTTTCAAATATTCAGATGTTCACCGAAGACCACACATTAGGCACCTGCCCCCAAACAACAACGATAACCGCAACAACAGCCACCACCACCGCAGTCAACAGAGTCCAAGGAAATGGACACTACCACTGACTTGGCAACAGCTCTTATGAAGACTAATTTGGCATTATGTATCAAGTGTCCATACTCTTTGACACAGTAATTGTCTTTCTATCCTAAATAAATAACCCAGATATGGGGGAGGCACTAAAAATGAGAAAATATTAGAAAGCTGAAATGAGAGAGATGGTTAAGTATGGTATATCCATCCAATACAATATTATCCTGTCATTTTAAAATGACATTTTAACATAATAACAGGAGAAGGTGCCTGAAATGTTAAAGGAAAACACAACATTAAATTGTGTATGTTTTATATAGCTGTGAAATAAAGCCCAATCTTCCTTAATGGACACACATTAAAGAAGTACGATCTTTAACTTTCCCTTTAGGCAGCATTTTGCTTTGCATCCTTTTTTGCAACTTTCTGTTCACCATGCAAGGAACATATGTCTGCTGAAGTTAAAGCAACCCACATTTCTACAAAAGAGAACAGAGAGGCCCTGAGAGTCCATGGCCACAGTGGCTGCTTTTCTGCCAGTTACAGTGTAGCATAGTATTTAGGCACATTAAACACTTAGTTTAACTTAGTGTTTAACTTAGTTAACTTATAGACATGGACATTCGCTTTGGAATTCCTAAAGTGGAGTCAATTCTGGTCCCTCATCATCTCTGGCCAAGATGGAGCAGAGGACTGAGCAAACAATGACTCCCTGCATTTGCAGTCTCTCTCAACAGTAAATAAACTATTCTTATCTACCTGTCAATACTTACAATTTGGTAGTCATTTTAAGGGGCAAAACTGAGGCAAATTTTTTTGGGAAATAAGATCCTAGTTGATACTAGAAATATATTAAAAAAAAAAAAAACCCCAACAACTCTTAGAATCAAACATTTATGTTAATCTTTTTTTTATAATAGGTCCAAAAGACTCAGTCCAGATCAGCACTGAAGTTATATCAAGAATTAAGTTTGCTTCATGCCAATGACCTGCTCCTCAGCAGGGGCTGGTTTTGCTATTTGAGGAATGACAGCCACTCTGTCGTGTACACAAGAGAGCTGGATGGCATCGACAGAGTCTTTCTCGTGGTTCTGAATTTTGGAGACTCGACAACGGTCAATCTAAAGGAAATGATTTCCAGTATTCCCACAAGAGTGAGGAAAAGGTTAAGTACCAATCCTACCAACAAAGGCAGTGAAGTTGATACGTATGCCACTTTACTGGACAAAGGAGAAGGCCTCATCCTTGAATACAACACGAAAAACCTCCTTCATCAACAAACAGCTTTCAGAGACAGATGTTTTGTTTCCAATCAGGCATGCTATTCCAGTGTATTAAACATACTGCACAGCTTGTGTTAGGCACCTTTATGAAAGAGATGAAGACACTGGCATCCTGTTCTATATAAGCATTTCCAGTAACTTCACGTACAGCATGCTGCTGGGTAAATACAGCTTGAATGTAACGGCTTTAAAAAGGTTCCCCAATGTTTTTAAAAAATAATAAAATTATCACTTGTAGAACTTGTTAACTTTACTGAGCTAGCATTAATATAAGAGATGATCGGAACACCTTAGGACTCCAGATTGTTAGAAAGATCTGGTGAATTCTAATGTGAAGAATGTTATCTTTTTTCATAAAATACGGGCATAGCAACTGGAGGATGACTTACTGCTGAAGTGTCTAAAAACGTTCACTAGCAAAGAGGCAGGACCTTGATTTGTAAACTTTTCAAAGAAAATAGAACAGACAAAAACAAAGCTGTTCTGAAGGAGCGGGGGGAGAGTTGTGCTGTCACCAATCCTTCCTTCACCCCCAAGTCCATGTCCTTCTGAGGGACATGGTTTGAAAACCTATGGTTTGAAAACTACTTTCTTAGGTTAAGGGGCATGTGCACCAATGGAGAGAACAGTATAAGCAAGTGAGATGTACACTAGACAAAATTTGGATGGAGAAGCAAATTTTAAAAAATTACTAACTTAAAAAAAAATCTCACTTTTGCTTACCCAATTGGAAATAAGACTATGAAATATTTCAGTGTGTTTCCAATTCCCCTGGAATGCAGCATTTCAGAATTTTAGGTACTTCTTAAGATTCTCAAAAACACTGGTGCTGTCAAGTCCAAGTTCCTCGTACAAGAATTTAATTTGGGCTGTGATCTAAAAGAAACACATTTTAAAAATTAGACAGAGGGCCTTTGTGGTAAAACTCCAGTGCTAAATCTCTTTGTCTGTCCATCTTCACCTAACTCTTAAGTCAGCAATTTATGGCAAGGGTACTCTGATTATTTGGGACAGAGGCAGAAGGTGCTCCCAACAATTAAGATTCCATTACTTTCTTTAACAGAGCTCACAAGTGTTTAGAGGGAACCCTTTCTCTTGACTGACTCAGCGTTCCTCTTCCCCGCTGGGCCTCAGCCACAGACCTGTTAGAAGCAGCTGTCATAAACCCTGCTGCAACCAATGGAATGTTGACTATAGCACGGCTCTACTTGGGCCTCCGGCAACTGAGAAGGGCTTGATAACATACCTTTTTGTGAGAATCCTCAATCACATGATTGCCTCCAGGCTGAATATCTAACACAACATTGGGGGCCTGATAGCCTGAAAGAGTTAACATATGAAACGATTAGGTTTTTTTTTTATTCTTATGTTAATCCCCTACATTACATCATTAGTTTTAGATGAAGTGTTCCATGATTCATTGTTTGTGCATAACACCCAGTGCCCCATGCAGAATGTGCCCTCCTCAATACCCACCACCAGGCTAACCCATCCTCTCACCCCCCTCCCCTCTAGAACCCTCAGTTTGTTTTTCAGAGTCCATCATCTCTCATGGTCGATTAGGTTTTTTTGAGACTCATTTCTCCCCTCTTCTCCCACATATGCTATTAAAGTAATAGTGAAGGAAAAAGGCATAAACTATCATCACCAAGAAAGAGATGGGAAGGGGGAGGCAGAAGACAGACTTCTGAAACAGAGAAAGCAGGAAAAGGACCAGCAGCTGAGGACACTGGATGGAAGATACTTGTAGGGTCCCATGGAGAAGGTTGTGACGCAAGAGGAAGCCAGACTGGCCCCGTGGAATCAGAGTCATGTGACCTGGAAACAGCTACTATTGCAATGGGTGAGTCTGAGGCATGAAGGTGAAAACAAGGTGATTGAAAACTTGTATGTGGGTCCTTCCCTCCCTAAGCCCAAAAGGTCTTGCTAAGGAAGAAAGGTAAGAGTTCTTATCCAATGAAATGGAAAGATCTAAAGAAAATTAAAGCAGCTAGTTTGGGCACTGAATGAAGCTCCAGACCAAAAGCTTTAGAATCTCTTTTTCAGAAGTTTCCAAGAATAACAGCTCAATTAATATTATTAAATGAATGAGTGTTTTATGACCGTACATCTCTAAGTTATATTTGATGTTTAAATTTATTTTTCTTTGTGTCTTGCCTACCTTATTTTAATATTTCCTTTCAAAAAGAGGCAAGGCAGGTATAGTTATTATATATGCTTCAACTGAATAGTCAACATAGGAAAACCAATTGTTTGTCCAAAATCATGGGCAGTTGTCTATAGCATAAAGTGTATTACTGAGTAGTATGTGGAAGGTAGTAATAGTCCATTTAGCTAGGTTCCCTGCCTGCAGGTGGTCTCCTACCTTCACCAGTGTCCTTAGCATGCTCCATAATGGCTTCCTTGAGTTTCTCAGTATAGTTTACAATTCCTTTCAGAGGTACACGCTCATCGTTTTCATAAGCCGTGATGTGAATGGAAGGATAATGCTGAAAGAAAATAGATGCAAAGTTTACATTATTCCCTATGGTCCCTTTATACCTTATAGATTATGAAAAAGAACTACCTCCAATTTTTTGATATAGGGGCTAGATATTTTCTTCTCATTTGAGAGAGATCTAAGTACTAGACCACTTGGTACCTGGCACAGCCTTTCCTTGGCTGGCAAGGCCATGACCATAGCTAATCTATTCTCCTGAACTATTAAATTGAAACAAACACGGACTATGAGCAGAGATGGAGCTGAAAGGTATTTGGGTATTATAAGCGGAAACAACCTAGAGCCCTAGTAAATTCCTGTCTCGGCATGGGTGAAGTATCCTTTTGATTATTTTTTCTATCACTTTAGGACAGTGTATCAGAACTGTCTTTCATTACCTGTGGTTTAATATTTTGATAGGGACAGTAACGTTTTATGTAGCTCTTGTGTTTTTCATCAGATGAAGGATTCCCCCATTCTTCTAATTCTTCTAATGTCAGAGGAAGTGTAGTGTCCATCATGGTGTTGAGAACATCCAAGAAAGGTGCCTAAAAAAAAAAAGCCAAAGAAATTTAAACTTTGTTAGGAAACTTAAAAGTTGTTAGAACAAAGGTCAAGAAGCCATGTGGATTCCCAGGAGGTGGACTATCTACTCAGTCCTTAACTAGGGCTTGTGATTTATAACTGGCCTTTACGTTTTCAGACTCTGAAAGTGGTAAATTTATATATCATGTTTCGTGTGTATATAAAGAATTTATTTTCTAATTTCATAACTTTTTAGTTTGATGCCTTTATTTATACATGTATTTTATATAAAAGCAATAAATGTTACCACTTTACATCCATTAGGATGGGTACCATTAGAAAAAAAAACAAACTAAAAATAACAAGTGTTGTCAAGTATGTAGAGAAACTGGAACCCTTGTGCACTGTCGGTGGGAATGTAAAATGGTGCAGATGGTATGCTAGTTTCTAACTAAACTTAGAATTACCATATAATCCAGCAATTCTATTCCTAGGTATATATCCCAAAGAATTAAAAGCAGGGTCTTGAAAAGTATACCCATATTCACAGCAGCATGATGAACAACAGCCAAAAGATGTTAGGAACCCAAGTGTCCACTGATGGATGAATGGATAAGCAAAATATACACAATGATACAATGGAATATTATTCAGCCTTAGGAAGGAAACTCTGACATATGCTACGATAATGGATGGACCTTGAGGAACATTATCTAAGTGAAATAAACCAGTTACAAAAAGACAAATATGTATGATTCCATTTATAGGAGGTATAGATAGTCTAATTTATAGAGACAAAGTAAAATGGTGGTTCTGAGGGGTAGGGGAAGGGAGTGTAGAGTTTTGGTTTTGCAAAATGAAAAGAGTTCTGGAGATTGCACAACAATGTGAACATATATAACACTACTGAACTGTACACTTAAAAATGGTTAAGATGTTAAATTGTTATTTTCTCACAATTAAAAATAAAAAACCCAGTATGAGTAAACCAGTTGGACATTTTATATTTAAAAAAAGGCAATAAATGTTAATTGAAGAAAATCCAGAAAATATCCACACTGAAAGAATAAAAAATAACTCCCTGGCTTATAACCAGTGTTAAAACATTTAATAAAATGGCAGCTGCCTTTTTCACTTAGCTTATTGTCTTCTGTTAACATGCTTTTCAGCTTTCTCTTGTATTAACATTAACCTAGTGGGCAAATGCGATTCTTTCCAGCTGCTTAGCATCTGGACTCCTTTTCTGCATTTAAACTATCCCTAACCTTGGGCGCCTGGGTGGCTCAGTTGGTTAAGCGACTGCCTTTGGCTCAGGTCATGATCCTGGAGTCCCGGGATCGAGTCCCGCATCGGGCTCCCTGCTCGGCAGGGAGTCTGCTTCTCCCTCTCCCGCTCCCCCCTCTTGTGCTCTTTCTCTCTCTCACTCTCTCTCTCAAATAAATAAATAAAATCTTAAAAAACAAAAAAACAAAAAACTATCCCTAACCTTAAGAGGCAGAGCCTGCCTTTCACTAGGGAGGTGCTAAATGCGAGGCAGTTCCTTTCGCAGTTTTCCCAGCACACGGAGTAGCCACATGACTTGGGTCCACCCAATCAGACATAATGGGCTCCAAACTTTGAATGGGAAGTTTGTGGCTCAAAGTAGGGACCATGGAGAATTTCTTCTGGCAGAAGTGCCACATCTATATTGAGTTTTTAGAAGCAGCTCTGGCAGTATGAGGTGACTTGTGCCCAGCAGCGGTCGCAGTGATAGCCTCACTGGACCAGTTTATTTTTTATTTTTTTAAAGATTTTATTTATTTATTTGAGAGAGAGAATGAGACAGAGAGAGCACATGAGAGGGGGGAGGGTCAGAGGGAGAAGCAGACTCCCCGCTGAGCAGGGAGCCCGAGGTGGGACTCGATCCCGGGACTCCAGGATCATGACCTGAGCCGAAGGCAGTCGCCTAACCACTGAGCCACCCAGGCGCCCCTCACTGGACCAGTTTTATAGTATATTTTGGACATGTTTCTGGCTGTACAACCTCTATAAGACTGGTTCTATACCTGCCCTTACCCAATAGCTTTTAATAAATCCCTTTTCTGCTTAAATTCATCAGAGCTAGTATTTGGTGCTTCTAATTAAAACTATGAATCCTCTATTGTTGGATATTTAGGATGAATCCACTTCTTCTCTATTATAAGCAATGTGGGGTAAATATTCTTATACATACATTTCTGATTATTTCCTAATTTCTAAAAGTCACAGATAAGTTGTGTTTTCTTTATACTGTAAGTAACTGCTATTATTATCTTTGTATATAGGTTTTCTTCCCTCTATACTTAGCATTTCTTCTTAAAAAGTAGATTTATAGATCAGGATTATTTAACACTTATTTACTTAATAGAAGCCTACAGTGTATACCCCACATTCTCAGAATAAAAGAAACCTGAAAATAATTTACTCTCTCCATTCCAGTCATTATTTTCTAGCACGTTTGACCAGGAGCAGAATGATGAGGGTGAAATGAGTGGCTATAACATCACTTCATAATTTCGGACACCAGGAAAAGACTATACAGTTGACCCTTGAAGGACACAGGTTTGAAATTACTAAAGTCCATTTACACCTGGATTTTTTTCAATAACTATACGTACAGTACTGTATAAGCAAACCTATTTTTCTTATGATCATCTTAATAACATTTTCTTTTCTCTAGCTTACTGTAAGAATACAGTATATAACATATAGAACATACAAAATGTGTGTTAAAATCCACTGTTTATGTTATTGGTAAGGCTTCTGGTCAATAGCAACTGTTAAGTTTTTGGAGAGTCCAAAGTTATACATGGGTTTTTGACTGCCTGTGGGGGTGGGGTTGGGGGTGGTGTCATTCAAGGGTCACCTGTAGAGATTTTTTAAGATCAAAGCAAGATATTTCAATTACAATACAGAAAAACTATCCCTTAAAGATCTTTAAGAATGGAGTATCTAAAAAAGGAGAGCCGCTACATCTAGGACTGAAATACTGACAGGCAGTAATAGTCACCGTGGACTCCAGAGTTAGTGTGCTCTGCCTGACTCCCTGGAACTAGTGAGTCATATATGCTCTGTCTCTTTTCCACCAATTCTAAATGTTTTTAAAAAATAAGAAATAACTAATGAGAAAAGCCATTAATATCCTTCAGTGGAAATTCTCAAAAATTAATAACACTGTCAGGGAGGAAGAAAGGATAAAGGATAAGTAGTTAAAGTAAATTTAGAAGTTCTCCCAGAGCTACAATTCTGTGTTTAAATTTTAAAAGCGGGGTGCCTGGGTAGCTCAGTTGTTAAGCATCTGCCTTCGGCTCAGGTCATGATCCCAGGGTCCTGGGATTGAGCCCCCCATCGGGCTCCCTACTTGGGGGGAAGCCTGCTTCTCCCTCTCCCGCTCCCCCTGCTTGTGTTCCCTCTCTCGCTGTCTCTCTGTCAAATAAATAAGATCTTTAAAAAATAATAATAAAAAATAAAATTTAAAAGCTTTGTTATACTCCTACATAGCTTTGCTATGGTAAAACTGTAACGGAAATATTTTTCCTAAAGTAGCCTATGATTCATGCCTCCCCACTCTGTACATAGTAGAGAACAGAGTATACTCACCTCCAAAGTCACAGCTCTCAGCAGCTCTGGATTAGAATTACACAATGCTCCCACAAGCACCCCTCCAGCACTGAAAGCAGTCAGGGTTGTTAGAGTTGGCTGAGAAAAGCCTTGGCCATGAAGCGTCTTAATGCAAGCCTCTAAGTCAGCAAGGCCATTGAGTTTTTTAGTTAGCCGGCCATCAGCATGCCACTGGAGGCCTAACTCACCACCACCTCTGAAATTAAAGGGCAAAAAAATCTTTTAGTGGGGAAAAAAATATTAATGATGTAGGTCAGGGTCGGCAAACTGTAGCTGGAGGCCATTGTTGTTTTTGTTTTGCTTTGTTTTTAAATGGCCTTAGAGCTAAGAAAGGTTTTTACATTTTTAAAGGTTGGGAGAAATAGAAAACAACCAGGAATATACAAGAGACCATATGTGGCCTACAAAGCCTGAAATGTGGGGCGCCTGGGTGGCTCAGTCATTAAGCGTCTGCCTTCGGCTCAGGTCATGATCCCAGGGTCCTGGGATCGAGCCCCGCATCGGGCTCTCTGCTCCGCGGGAAGCCTGCTTCTCCCTCTCCTGCTCCCCCTGCTTGTGTTCCTGCTCTCACTGTGTCTCTGTCAAATAAATAAATAAAAATCTTAAAAAAAAAAAAAGCCTGAAATATTTATTATTTAGCTTTTTGGAGAAGAGGTTTGCCAATCCCTGATAACAGTCAAAAATGGATTTAACAAATGTTTTTTAAAAAATAAGAATCACCGTCATTTTCTTTTTATTCATTCACTTAAAGTAAGCTCTACACCCAATGTAGGGCTTGAACTTATGACCCAAGATCAAGAGTTGCATGCTCTGACTGAGCCAGTCAGGTGCCCCTCAACAAGTATTTTTTGGGTGCATGCTACAGTTTGGTCTAAATGCCAGCCTTAAAAATACAAAAAAGCAAAAATGTCCTGCTCTGAAGAACATAATTTTGGGGGGAAAGAAAACAGCTGCCAAGCAATGTGGTCACTGCTTTCACACAAGTGTATTTAAGGTTATCCTAGAGGCAGTAGAAAACATCCACCTGTCAGGTTAGGGGTATATACTTCCTAAAACAAATGCTTAAGAAGGAGATGATACCTAAGCTGAGGACTGGAGGAAAAGGAGTTCCCAGAAGCGCAAAGAAAGGGAAAACATCAAGACACAGCAGGTGAAAGGAACAGAGGGGAAAGAGTTTATCATCTGAAAGGATGTAACAAAGGCTGAATATATAGGATGTATGTGGCTGGAGTGCAGGACATGTTTGGGTAGTAATGATAACTATCACTACAGAGATAAGCCAGATCACAAGGATGTTAAATACTACACCGAGGAGTTTGGATTTTATTTTGGAGATGGGGAGGTGGAGAAGGATTTTAAGCAGAAACATAAAATAATATTTGTGTCTTGAAAAGCTAAAATAAATGGAAGTCAGAGTGGAAAAAGGATCTAGCTTGAGAGACTATTTTAGAAAAACCTAAACTCAAGAGAATTAAATGGAAATAATAACATTACTGAGATTAGTACCCAGACTGGTACATCAATTCTACAAATCTGTTGCAAGGTCCTAAAAATCTATCCTTTATCAACTAGTCTGTTAAATCCACTTCCACCAGCATATGTTTAGGAATACACAAATTCAATAACACAACTGAGATAATAAACTTTGTTCCCCGATACACTGTTATGCTGGACATCTGTCACGATGTCCTAGCACTCATATGCCAGGTGAAATGCTGCTGACTCACCGAACATGGCAATATGCTAATATCCATCCATCGTCTACCAACACCCGCCTTTCAGGTCTGAAATTCATTTTTAAATCCATTCCATAAGCTCCATATACATGTACCAGGAGAGGTTTCTTTTGTAAGTCCTCAGAATCCGTTTTGTGGAAAATGGTCATTGGCACTGATTTTCCATCCTGGAAATGAAGAGTTATTATGCATGTAAGTAAGAGTCTTTTAAAACAGCTTATCCCTGGTTTTATGCATTACTTATTGATGTTGAGCACAAACTTCATTTAATTAAGGCAACAGAGAGGTGCTTGGCTGGCTCAGTCAGTGGAACATGTGACTCTTGATCTCGGGGTTCTGAGTTCGAGTCCCATGTTGGGTGTAGAAATTACTTAAAAATAAATAGGTAAATAAATAAATAAAATAAAGACAACAGAGTTATGGTCTTTAAAAATACATCATGAAAAAAAAGAAAATAGTAGGAAGGGAAAAATGAAGGGGGGGAAATCGGAGGGGGAGATGAACCATGAGAGACGATGGACTCTGAAAAACAAACTGAGGGTTCTAGAGGGGAGGGGGGTGGGAGGATGGGTTAGCCTGGTGATGGATATTAAAGAGGGCACGTACTGCATGGAGCACTGGGTGTTATGCACAAACAATGAATCATGGAACACTACATCAAAAACTAATGATGTAATGTATGGTGATTAACATAACATAAAATTAAAAAAAAAAAAAGAAATAAAATACATCATGGTTCGTCCCCATTTTCAGCTATACTGCTGACCTGTAATATGAACTAGAAAAGAGCAGTCAAGACTCTGGCTTGAAAACAGTTTATTAAATGCAGCTTTTCATGTCAGTAAAGTGATTTTAAGGAGTTTTTCACTACCATTACTGTAATTTTTTTCTTTCAAGCTAAGTCAATATATACCTATCAAGGTTAGACATACGAGCACAGCATTTTTCCTATACCTATGGCTAGATACTGACATTTCTCATCTTTGAATATTTATAAACATGCTGATTAAAGTTTTAACAGCTCAATTTTCTGTCCGCTATAGGCAGTCCTCAACCATTAGCACCAGAATTTCTTACTGACCACTACTGACATCCACCCTCATCCTCTTCAAAGGCCTACCTTTATTTTTTAAATGTTTAATAGTGGTTTAAGTTTTATAAATTTTAACATCTAAATTACCTTAGGGCTAGTTTATTCCCCAGTGTAGTTCACATTCATTAATCACAAACTGACTGAAACTAGGCATGTCAGGACAGACAAAATTAACATAATCTGAACTACTTCTGATCTTCCTTTCATAGAAAAAGGGCAGAGAAGTTGGTTCTCACCCTTACAGAAACTAGTGAAACAGTGCTAGTTTACATAAAATAAGAGAGAATAACAAAAGGAAAATAATATAACCAAGCCACTCTCCCTATTTTTTTCATTCTCATTGTGAAAACTTACCTTTGGGGCACTGGAATATTATCAAATAAGGAGGCAATCTTTCATCATTCCTTATCACACTCAGCTTGTTCCGAGTGTAACTGGAGTTTCACTTCTCAGATTCATTCATTCTTATAAAATGAGGTAGATTAATTTCTATAAATTATCTTTGTCTTTTCATCTCCCCAACTTAAATCAATCAGAGAAAAACTTGCTGGTTGAAAACTTACGAAAAAGAAGAGGTGATGGGCTGGATCTGAGTTCATCAGCAGTGCAAAAATGCCTGTGGAAAGTTATAGCAGCAGGGCGCCTGGGTGGCTCAGTTGGTTAAACGTCTGACTCTTTTTTTCTTTTCTTTTTTTTTTAAAGATTTTATTTATTTATTTGACAGAGAGAGACACAGCGAGAGAGGGAACACAAGCGGGGGGAGAGGGAGAAGCAGGCTTCCCGACGAGCAGGGAGCCTGATGCAGGGCTCGATCTCAGGACCCTGGGATCACGACCTGAGCCAAAGGCAGACACTTAATGACTGAGCCACCCAGGTGCCCCAAGCATCCGACTCTAGATTTCGGCTCAGGTCATGATCTCAGGGTCGTGAGACTGAGCCCTGCGGTGGGCTCCCTGCTCAGCATGGAGTTTGCTTGAGATTCTCTCTCTCCCTCTGCCCCACCCCGCCTCTCTGCATGCACTCTCTCTCTCTAAAATAATAAATAAACCTTAAAAAAAAAAAATAGTAGCTTCCACTGAGCACTTTCTCCCTTCTTCCCTAATTCATAAAGCATCCCTGGGTTCCCCAAGAACTAGTTTCACTGTTCTTCCCATTTGGGGTATGATAACTACAACATTTTGAAAGACTGGTATAATCCCACATTTCTAAAGTGGAACAAAACCTAAACATGTATTTGTTGACAAAAAACAAAACACAAAAATCTGGATGGTAATGCACTAAATGGTAAACAATAATTATGTCTAAGAGGTATAGCAACAGCAAAGGAACTGGAAGTAGTCATCTAAACTTTACACATTCTGCATTTTTGCATTTCTTCTAAGAAATGTATTATTGAAAAATACAATTTAAATAAAGTTATTAAAAGAAAATCAATGAGTTAAAAAATTCATAAAGACAAAAGGCTTCGTCACAATCCATTGCCAGCACATATGAAATTATCTGTTGCTTGGTATGCTAAGGTCTGAAAATTCCTTAAACCCAAGGCCACAGTTTATTAATTTATTCCTCACTTGCACAAACTTTCTTTTCTACTTTTCACTCTCCTGTCTTCCCTCTTTTACACTATACTTTGGCCGTAATGCCCTTCTTTATACTTCTTTCTTTAAATTTTACGTAAGCTCTGCACCCAACGTGGGGCTCAAACTCATGACCCTGAGGATCAAGAGTCTTGGGCTCTTCTGACTGAGCCAGTCAGGCAGCCCCGTCTTTTATACTTCTTGAATGCACCATTTCTCCCTCAATTTAGGGCCTCCACACAAAATGGATTCCTCCTGTCCCCTTTCTAGCTTAATTCTTTTTTTCTGTTTTGAAAGATTTTATTTATTTGAGAGACAGAGAATGAGAGAGAGAGAGCACAAGCTGGAGGAGGGGCAGAAGAAGAGGGAGAAGCAGGCTCCCTGCTGAGTAGAGAGCCGGATGCGGGGCTCAATCCCAGGACCCTGGGATCATGATCTGAGCCAAAGGTAGCCACTTAACCAACTAAGCCACCCAGGCACCTCTCTAGCTTAATTCTTAATCATCTTAGAGGTCCTACCTGAGACATCACTTCCTCAGAGAAGCCTTCTGTGATCTCTCCAGCCTAGGGAAGGTCCCTGTGTCATGTTTCCACTGTACTCAGTACAGCTTCCTTTGCAGCAGTCAGTACATAAGCAGTTACTCCTTCAACATCGGTCATCTTCCCTGCTAGATTTAAGCTCCATGAAGGCAGGACTGTATCAGTCTAGCTCACTCTAGTCAATTGCTTACCAACTTCACAATTTTTGCCATAACTAGAAACCAACTTTGGCTATTTAAGTCAACTTTAAAAATTCAAATATAGGGGCGCCTGGGTGGCTCAGTTGGTTAAGCGACAGCCTTCAGTTCAGGTCATGATCCTGGAGTCCCGGGATCGAGTCCCGCATCGGGTTCCCTGCTCGGCAGGGAGTCTGCTTCTCCCTCTGACCCTCCTCCCTCTCATGCTCTCTGTCTCTCATTCTCTCTGTCTCAAATAAATAAATAAAATCTTAAAAAAAAAAAAAAAATTCAAATATAAACAACATGTGAACTCAAGAGCTTGATATATGCTAGTTATACTTTTTCTAATCCATGTTAAATAAATATATCAATATTGGGGTGCCTGGGTGGCTCAGTCGTTAAACGTCTGCCTTCAGCTCAGGTCATGATCCCAGGGTCCTGGGATCGAACCCCACGTCTGGCTCCCTGCTCAGCTGGGAAGCGTGCTTCTCCCTCTCCCACTCCCCCTGCTTGTGTTCCCTCTCTCACTGTCTCTCTCTCTGTCAAAAAATAAAAT